AAATAAATTGCTTTTTAGTTTTTCAGGTAGGTCTAACAGTAGGGCTATTAAGAGATTTAAAAAAAAAAAAAAAATGTTTTTAATTTTTACCAATTATCCAAATAATGTTTAGTCCTCCTAGAAAGCTATTATTATCAGAGGACATGTGAGCATAACATAGCAGTTAGCAGATCAATGAATGAGAGGGCAGCGTTACCAGAGTTGCCCATATACCACATCATCTTACAGCACAGTAGGGCTATTGCAAACAGAAAAAATACTGTACTACATAGATGTTTCCTGTCTGCTAGATTTTTGAGTGGACTTTGCTGTTCCGATGAGCATGAATGGTATATGAGTGGACAGTGGAGCGCATAGAGCGGGATAATACGCAGAGCGTCGCACCACGTGAAAGTGAAACCTGAGCGGTGAACTAATTTTCGGCAGCCGGAATTTCGGTGCATCTCTAATTATTGGCGACATCAGAAATGGATATTATATAATAGATGCTTTTTTGAACATTTTAGCAATTTAAAAATATGAAAAAATGATTTTTTACACGGCACCCCAGTTGGGAAACACTGGACTAAATCATAAAAACCTAACTTTTTTTCTCTTTTCATATGCAGATACTCAAATCTCATTCTGAATCTGTTCTCTCTGATGGTGGATGCAAATATCCCAGACATTGCACTGGAGCCTGACAAAACCGTAAAAAAGGTATGTATGGTCCTCACATTTTGTCTCCAAAACTTCAGAGGTAAAATCAGCTGTTCATTCATTGCCCGCCCACTGCAGGTTCAGGACAAGTTTCGATTGGACCTCTCAGATGAGGAGGCGGTGCATTATATGCAGAGTCTGATTGACGAGAGCGTAGGTGCTCTGTTTGCTGCAGTGGTTGAACAGATACACAAATTTGCACAGGTGTGTATGTTTCCTCATTTTGTCCTTTTTGAAAAATCTGAACGGAAAACAGCAAAGCCTGTTGTCTTTAATGATAAATTTCAGGATGTTACTAAAGATAAGCTCTGGTGCTGCTTGCGTTTTTATGGTTGGCAGCAGTGTTCTTTTGTTTTTTTTGGCCAGTGCTGCTAAATTGTGGAATACACCACACAACTTTTACCCAGATTTTTGCCCTCTAATTTGCAGTCTTGATGCAAGTTGCCATAACTGAAAGCCAGTCTTCGGATTTTGGTCATTCAGATTTCACAGAAAATTGCATAGTGTGTGATCGACACAGACTCCATTTTTTTTGTAAGCTTCAGTCTGGATTCTATCTAGTTGCAGAATATTTTGAGCTGATTTAAGAATGCATATTTCATTTTTCACACTTCTCCTAGCAATGAGGCACACTTTTCTGCTCATGTTTTTAAACTCGTATAGTGTATTCCAGACTTAAAGTTCACACTTATTTTTATCGGCTATTTTACCAGTACAGTACAGAAGCCCAAAATGGCAAATAGCAGAACATTAATTGGCATCTTTACTAATGCTTCATGTTTGAAATCCACAGTATTGGCGCAGATGAGGTGATGTCATGGAGGCTGATTCTCACATAATCAGTGAGCAACAGATAAATGGACGGCAGCAACAAATAAATGATGGAGAAGAGAAATGGACACGTGCCAAGGCCACACTAGTGACATCATGTTTTCACCATTCATGCACTAGGTCTTGACTTTAGTGAATATCTTTGTATGTATATATAATTGTAATAAAATGAACTGTAGATGTAAAAAAAGACAGTCAAATAAAGATTACAACTTTAGCCTTTGTGTTTACTGTTTAGTATTAATTTTACATTATACTCACTTTAAAGTTCAAACGCTCTCATTTAAAACATTTATAGTCTGTGTTTGTAGAAATCTGTTTGGTGTTTTGGTATTTTTTACAATAATAGTTTAAAAATTATTTATACAAAAATGAATGATCTGTTAAATACATATATGAAGCCTTTGACTAGGCTCAGTTATTTTAGGCGTGTCCTTCTATGACAATGAGTGGTTCTGATACATATGGTGGTTTTAAAGGTTTCTCTGGATGATGTGCACGTTTCTTTTTGTGCAGTGTGAGTCAGTTAGTGAGTCACACCTTCCTATGAGGAGAATTCTTATGTAGAGAAATGTGCCAATGGTTTAGAATGAGACTATAGTTATGCAAAGTTCAAAATTTATTATACTTTTCTTGGACTTTACATAGGTTCTATGGATTAATTCTTGCACCCACCATCAGTGTCCAAACATAAATCACACTGAGCAACTCTAATTCAAGTTTGTCTTTTGTTTTTGAAATTACAAGCCTGAACAGATATATTTACTGTCAGTAAGTGTTTAAAAATCATTCAATTAATTAACAATACCACTTGTGAAGAAAGATGCTACATGGCAACAAAGCAGTCAAACATAGTGATGAGGAATATACATGATATTTGGTAAAAATTTCAGTTCAGGTTTAGCTTGCATTTCTTGATTTTTCTTCTTCTTTTGGGCCTACGGTATATGTGTATGCTATGCATGTTGATTTTCAGGCTCGTGGGCTGTGGTTTATTAAAGCTGAGCTAAACCCATGCAGACTTCTTTCCACTCTGCTACATTTGGTCAACAAGAAACTTGACATTTAAAACTCGAGTCATCCGTTAAGTGTAATAGCAGTGAATATCTACATTTTAGAAATGAGTTTGGAGGTGGCATATTTGCAACGCATGGTTATGGCTTCAGAAAAAGTCCAAAAACAAACTTCCCCCTCAAAACGTACTGTATTTATAATTCTACAACAAAATTTCCCTTCACTGTTACAGTACCAAAGTTCAACTGAACCAATTAGACCTCACAGAATACAAGTCGAGTCCACATACACTCTCTCAAAAGAGGAAATAAGAAAGCATGCATTATTCTATACAAATCTATAATACACTTTCCAGAATGTAGATTTACACTTGTTTCCTGGGAGCATTTCCATAAATGTTCCAGAGAACAGGCAAGATCAGCAAAAATTGTGCACCTTAGCATGGTTAACTGTGAGACACGGTCCACAGAAAATGAGAGCCAAGATAGGGCAACTCTGAGTCAGAAGTGAAAATAAAAAATTAAAACAATGAATCAAGCCATACAGAAAGCATACAGTTACCCGAAAATAGCACTGCTCCTCATAGGGACCGCATAAGGATTTATAGTGCTCTGAGTCACTGGCTTGTAGGGGGGGATCCCAAATAAACCGTGAAGGACAGTAATAATAATAATGACTGCTAGATTCCGGTCAGTGACATTTGACCACTGATGTACACATGCATGAGGAACGTGCATGACGTGACACAATTCACCCTAAAGTAAAGGGAATACATGCTGAACTCAATATTACCCAACCTAAGCTACTCAGACCAAGATGGAGGATATATAATAGTCAGCATGACATATATAAAATATAATAATAAAATATACTATATAAATAAACAGCATGAACTTTTAAATCACCCGTTCTATTTTTCAGAGGCATGTAATACATCTTCTTGTGAATGACTCATCCGTATGTGCTTCTTTTTTTTAAATCATAATAATAATCTAAAATTTTGAATCAATTTGTCATAACTGGATCTTAATGTGAAAACGAAAATGTTTCTTCTCCTGCAAGCTCATGTTCATCTGCCTCCATTTCCGAACAACAATAAATAGAATCAAGTGCTTGTCTTTTTTCCATAAGCAGTTACACTCGAATGTACATCACAATACAGAAGAAAAGATCTGTCGCTACTTCCATTTCATTGCAACTTCCCTTTCACAGCAATGACAATAGATAGTGGGCGAAAGGGCAGAATCACATTGTTGCAAATTAATAGCACCAAAAAAAAAAAAGAAGCATGTATTAAAAATTGTACACAGAACTAATCTGTCTTGAGTCTAAAAACGTTATATTTAACATCAGTAGTTTCAATTTGTTTGGATGTCTTCTATTGGTCTCATATTCAGTTTTTCCCACATGATGTCTCGTCCTGTTGAGTGTGTTCAACTCGCACGGAGCTCAGAGGGATGTTTCTGGGTGACGGTAAATGATTCTGATATGGACATCCCACCTGTGTTTCTAGAATTGGATGTGATGGTAACAGATGGAACTCATCATGTTGGACTTCTGTGCTCAACTCTTCAGACTCCTCAGTGCAGTCTGGATTGTGCAGGATGGGGCTTGTGTAATAGCCATTGGCCAGACTTTGGGTGTTGTAGTAAGAAGACTGGTTGTCCATGAGTGTGAAGTGAAATGAGTGGGAAACAACAGAAACGTGGTCACCCTCAGAGCTCTCGTTGTGTGGTGCAGCTTTACTGGAGTCAACGAAAGTCTCGTTCTGAAGTTCCAGGTCTCGAAGTAAAGCCTGAAAACACATAATACGGTTTGAATTTTAAATGTAAAAAACACCTAAGATGAGATGGTCATTATGCTTAGTTCATAAATGCACTGAATGCAGATAAAAGGGTTTCTGACAGGTTAAACAATAAAATGTTTCTGCATTAGAAGGTTTTATCGTCTTTTATTGGTACTTAGATTGACTAAAATGCTTTGCAATATACAGCTAGTGAACTGTATATCATACAAAAGTATCTATTGGATATCGATTGGATGACTGTTGTTCCAAGAGTGGTTATATGGACCCTTATTAAAATGTAATGACACATTTCTGCACTAAATAACATTGTAAATCTCTATATTTTTTCCTATTTAGGGAAGTCATGAAAATGCAATAGCTGATTGTTTTTAGTCTTACAGCAAATGAGAACACAAAAATAATTTTCTATGGTACTATTTCCCATGTACCTCTGTAGAGCTGTGGTTCTCCAGCTTTTTGACTCAATTTTTGCCTGTAATTGTCAAAGCTACTTGTTTTCAAACTTTTTTTTTATTAACTGGGAGTAGCGCTGTCTTAAATTGATTTTCTGATTACTTATGTTTCAAGAACGGTTCTGTTTTTAGTAAAAACAATAGTTTTGAATATATACTTTAATATACTAATAATAACATTAATTTAAATACATTTATGTAACCCTGTGGCCCCAGTCCCCTGGTGCCGAACCACTGCTATAAAGAAACTTCATGTTTTTTGTCATCTAATTTAAATGTAAATTATTCAATATTCACTTATAAAAACATTAACACACTCGCAATCATGCTCAAGTAAGTCCAGTACCAAAGATCTGGGCAGGGGACGTTCAGAAGATGCACACCGTCTCCAGACCAGAAGAAATACTAAGCCAAGAGTGATGAGAACAGCACACACAATCACGACTATAAGGCTTTCTGAAGAACACACAAACACACACATGCATTAGTGTCGGCAACCATTGAACACACAAATAAATGTGTATTGTATCATTACACAACAAAATAAGTATAAACACTTTCACTAGAAATAATGCACACCGTTATTTGCTGGTATGTAAACACACTGCGGGATGCTCGGGGGAGAAGAGACCAGCACACCCTCAAATGTGAAGTTGGCCACAGCACAGTACACTTGCCCTGGTGTAAGAAAACCAAATTCCACCTTGAATGGGGTTTCACGCATCACTTCAGCGGTGTGTGCCTTCAAGAAAAATGAATAAAAATAACACAATGGAACTCTAATTTCTAATCTTAATGTGAACACTTATACTGCAAATAAATAAATATACAAAACAGAAAAATGGAGTTAAAGGGATGTAAAAATGAGAGTTGTGCACCTGTTTGTCTGAGAGATTCTGTTCATTGTATAGAGTGACTGTTGCCCAGAGAATTTTAGAAAAATCAGTTACAGGACAGGAGCATCCCATCTCCTCCTCTTCCTCATAATATTCATTATCACCTTCAGAACTGCAGCTTATGGATGGAGCACATGGAAAATTTACCGTCACCCAGAGACTTCCATTGGCCATGGAGATTGTTATGGAGGGCGGGCTGAATTTGGCAGCAGCTAGCAAAAAAACAAAAAAACAACACCTTACTCTTGACACTTTTTCATAACAACAACAATAATAATAATTATTATATAATATCAATAATACAATATAATAACAATAATACAACACAATATCAAATCATAAAGATATTATTATAATTCAATTCTTGTCCAATTATATTCATTTATTATAGACAATGGACAAAAGTCTTACATACTATGAATGAATGCATTTCTGTAATGTAATCCAGCTTTTCTAGATTTGTGCAATATTACACATTTTTGACCTTTATCTATCAATTTGTGGAACATGGCTTGAGGTTTAATACTGACGGTCATTTAAAGGGGTGCAATTCCAAGTTTCATTCAGCCAGAGAAGCTCAGATGTCAGTCTGATGAAGTTGTAGATGTCTAAGGTAGGAAAGACTTCTGACAGATCACAGCTTTGCTGGGAAATCTGGATGCAGCCTGAAACATTTACCCATGATGTACTGCAACACAAACACACAATATTGAGGACACTTTACAAAAATTCCAAGTAAATTCTTTAGGGTGATCATCTGGCCATTCACCCCCTGCAAAACTATGCTAAACAGACATTTCTGACTTTCATTTTCTTAAAAATGTGACTTTTCCACTGGGCATGATTTAAAAAAAAGAAAAGAAAAGAAAGCAAGTAAAGAGAAAACTGAGCTTGAGTGCTTGTGAGTCATTTTGTTTTTCAATTGTAATTCAGAGGAAACCAACAGCGTGCCTGAAGCGATAACAACAGCGTATCTGCTCTGGGGTGATGACGAGCCTGGATTGTTTCTCGCTGTGGTTTTCTGCTAAACCACCCAGTTTCACCTCTCACCCCAGTGCTCTCTCTACTCCACACTCTCATTTCTCCTCTAAACAACATCTTCCACATCATTCATAGTTACTCCTTTTGTGTGTAGATGAGACTCACTTTTGCTTGCTCAAGACCGTGTAAGTCGTCTTAGGGTTGGCATCAGTGCAATCCCACTCAAGATGGCACCCGAAATTGATCGTATGCACTCTGATGTCACAGACAGAGACTGCAGACTCTAAACGAAACATATGAAAACAAGAACATGTTGCACCAGACATGATCTGAAATCATACAGTACACCAAATGAAAGAGAAAAATTTACTCACCTATATTCAACACCAACAGAAAGAAACATAAGTTTAGGAGAGCGACAGGCATCCCCACAACAGAATGCTATTTTATGAAAAAAAAAAATAAAAATAATAATAATAAATAGCTCTATTTATCAAAATGCCATAGCTGAAATAACTGATATATCTACAAAGCTGACTAACAAAAAATATTAACTATTTATAATGACATTAAAAAAAAGAAATAAACTTTACCTTAAACAAAAGAATGGAGAGATTTCATTAGCTGTTACTTTCAGTGGGTGAACAGAAAAAGTGAGAAGAAGACAGCTGTCACAGCATAACTTATGCCACAAAACCACACTGGGACTGAACCCACTCACAGAGACAAAACTGGAGAGGAGAACAAAAGCTCTCTCTAGTGGAAATGGTAGGAAAAAACGTTTTATATATACAGCGGGTAAAATAAGTATTGAACGGGTCACCATTTTTCTCAGTAAACATATTTCTATAGGTGCTGTTGACATTAAATTTTCACCAGATGTCGGTAACAACCCAAGTAATCCATACATACAAAGAAAACAAAACAAATAAGTTGAGTGCATTACTTATTTTCTTTGAAACAATTGTACATGCTAATTCCAGGTCTTTCTGAAGATCTCCACAAGTGATCCTTGGCTCTTGGACAACTCTTCTGATAATTCTTTTCACTCCTCTGTCAGAAATCTTGCGAGGAGCACCTGGTCGTGGCCGGTTTATGGTGAAATGATTTTCTTTCCACTTCAGGATTATGTCCCCAACAGTGCTCACTGGAACATTCAGAAGTATAGAAATCATTCTGTAACCAATGCCATCAGTATGTTTTGCAACAATAAGGTTGTGAAGGTCTTGAGGAAGCTCTTTGCTTTTACCGATCATGAAATGTTTCTTGTGTGACACGTTGGTCATGAGACATCTTTTTATAGACCATCAGTTGGGACTGAACCAACTAATATTAATTTCCACTTACTAGGGGCATGATTGCTAATTACTGAGATTTCTGCTGGTGTCTTGGCTTTCCATGCCTTTTTGCACCTCCTACTTTTTCCCCGTGTCATTCCACTTTATTACACGGAACTTAATTTCTGAACATATTTGTTTTGCTTTCTTTGTATGTATGGATTACTTGGATTGTTACCGACATCTGGTGAAAATTTCATGTCTTTCATTACACAAAACTTAATTTCTGAACTTATTTGTGTTGTTTTCTTTGTATTACTTGGGTTGTTGCCAACAACTGGTGAAAATTTAATGTCAACAGCACCTTTAGAAATATATTTACTGAGAAAAATGGAGAATGAGGACAATCAGGGTTTAACTGGACTTCATTCATATATATATATATATACACACACACACACACATTAATAATTATAACTTTTTAGTTAATCTTAATATCTTCATATCTATTAATCCCCACTATAAACACTACTGTTTAAAAGTTTGGGGCAAGATTTTTTTAAAGAAATCTCTTATGCTCACCTTGGCTGCATTTATTCAATCAATTTGCAATTAATCAATCAATCATCACATTATCAATGTTGAAAACATTGGTGCGGTTTAATATTTTTATGGAAACCCTGATACTTTCAGGATTGAAGAATATAAGTAAAAAAAAAAACATTTATTTACATTTTCTGTCACTTGTCAGTCTTAACTGTCAGTTTGATCAATTTAATGCAGTTAATATTTGTATTACTTGCTGAATAAAATATTTCTGATCAGCAACAAAAAAAAAAAGACTGACCAGTATTCTACAAAGTACTAATATACAGAATATTATATATTAAACATTATTAAACATAATTCAGGGTGTATGTATGTATTTTATATACAGTAGTCAACATTTGAAGTAGATCTAAAAAGTTCAAAGTTGTCCTAAGACAAGAACGCATTTTGGTTTTAGGCGTTAGGACAACTTTGATGAAAGGTTTTGATCAGCTTGAAACATTTTATAAAGATGCCAAGTTAATTCTTTACGGTGATCATCTGGCCATTCACCTCCTATAAAACTATAATGTGCAACAAACAGACATTTCTGACTTTCATTTTCTTAAAAATGTGACTTTTCCACTGGGCATGATTCTTTAAAATAGAAAACAAATGAAAAGCCAGCTGAAGGCTTTGTATCTTTTATACCATGTGACAACTTAAAATGTAGAAAACCGATAATGTGACTCATATCTTCCATAAACACAACATAGCCTGTTAGTACTTTACTTTGTCCATGTCATTTAATGTCATTAATAAAACAATACATCATTTTTTTCCCATTCAAAGTATTTTCATAAACTTTCAAATAATTGTAAAAATAACAAGAATATTGACAACACCTCTTTAGAAAGGGATTAAAACCTATGGGAGTGTTCAAGTTTAGAGGACTAGGACTTGAGATCAGAATACTAAATGATCCACTTTGTCTAAACAATAATACATAGCGTTTTCTTTCTCTTCAGAATGACATTTTTCAGCTCGATTTTAGTTTGAGTGCATTAAGCAGTAGCATCAGCTTTAAAGGTAGCGCTTCACCTATATATCATGCATCTTTTATGTCCGAGTGCCAGGCAGAGCAATGTTTGGCTCAGTAGGCGAGGGCGGCAAAGCTTTGCACAGAAGCCTTTTTCCAGCCGCATCGCCATTCAAGTTCTTATAAGGGGTCTGTCGAGGTCCACGTGTGCAAATAGAGGGGAAACTCATCCCTGCTAGGCAGCAACCCGGACAGGCTATGACCTCATCCTGTTCTGGAGGCGTAAGAGGGGTCGTGGCACCATTGGAGTTATTAACCCCCCATCCCAGAGGTCGATTTATAGGGATGGTGCCATTGTTGTTGTCTGTGTCTAGTAAAGGAGGTAATGAGGGTGGCCCGTTGGAGACCAGGGAGCTCCAGCCATTGGAGAAAGGTTTGGTTGAAGTAGCGATGGCGCCATCTAGTGTATCAGGAGAGCTGGTGCAGTCCATTGGCTCCTCAATGCTTTCCTCTAGCCTCGATCGGTTTGGAGACATCAGCTCTGGATCTAATGGAAGACCAGAGTCGTCAGCTACAGCTTCTTGACTGTCCATTTCAAGATTATCCTCCTTGTTGTCCTGCTTAGGATACGAACGCCTAACATTGTCACCGGGTGTATTAAAAACCTCACTAATATTAGGCAGATCAGCAATACTCTCGTCGCTCATAGCCAACACACTGTCCCTTCCCATGTCCATCAAATTTCCATTGACTGGATTTACATCTGTGTCCATAACACTTGGAGTATTTTCACATTTCTCATTGTCAGCAGTACCACGCAGAGACCGGATGTCTTCTGGCGTGCAGGGCAGCGACTGGCTGCGTCTGTGGAAATGGAGAGGGCCTTTGTCACAGGAGACGGGGCTGCTAGGGTCAGGGGGCGGAGGGAGAGCAAAGGTGAGGGAAATGACAGACTTGCTGGGGGTGTCAAAGAGCTTGATGCGGCCGCCGTTGAGGTCTTGGCGCTGGGAGAAGGGGTTGACGCGCATCGGTGTGGTCCAAGTCAGGAGAGGGGATGGAGGGAGGAGCACATCGGATTTACTGCGGCAGAGTAAATCCGGGTCAGTGGGAATGTCTACAGAATGCTTTCGACTTAAAGGTGTTGTGTTTGTGGACGGCCGGTCTGAAAAAGAAGAAAAAACTTTTTTAATTTAAAGGAACACTCCACTATTTTTGAAAATAGGCTCATTTTCCAACTCCCCTAGAGTTAAAACGGTTGAGCCGATCTCCGGGTCTGGCGGTAGCACTTTTAGCTTAGCTTAGCATAGATCATTGAATCTGATTAGACCGTTAGCATCTCGTTCAAAAATGACCAAAGAGTTTCTACATTTTTCCTATTTAAAACTTGACCCTTCTGTAGTTGCATCGTGTACTAAGACCGACGGAAAATGAAAAATTGCTGTTTTCTAGGCCGATAAGGCGAGATGAGCGAGATGCTAACGGTCTAATCAGATTCAATTACCTATGCTAAGCTACAGCTAAAGTGCTACCGCCAGACCCGGAGATCGGGCTGATGGATTCGAAAACGGTAAAACTCAACTGTTTAACTCTAGGGGAGTTGGAAAGTGAGTCTATTTTCAAAAATAGTGGAGTGTTCCTTTAAGGCTCAGTTTGTTTTTAATGCCATGCAAGCTTCTTTAATCATTTTCAAGGCGAAAGATATTTAAAGGGATATTTAATTTAAAAAAAAAACATTTCTGTCATAATTTACTCAACCTCATGTCCTTCCAAAATTCCAAAATGAATTCTAAATTAACCTTTGGTTAATCTTCAAAAAAAAAGAAAAGAAAAAGATAAATTAAATCTGTTCACATAAAAAGCAATAGTATCTCTTCACAAGGCTTCATGGTTTGGTTTGATAATGATAGAATTTTCAACTTTGTTTAGAGCAAACAGAAATGTGATTTGACTTATGAACATTTAGCATGATTTGAAAATTAGTTCTGAAAAGATTTACTGATACTAATTTGCATTATATATGCATTGTAATTGAATAAATGTGAGCAGAAGAAAAGAAAAAAGTGTTCTGGCAACACTGCTGTATTTATTTATTTATTTTTATTTTTTGCTGACTCACCCTCTACATCAGGCTCCATACATTCACTCTTCTCTCGATCACTCACTATCTTCTCCAGCTCTGCTGCCACCTCTGTGAATGAGGGCCGACTGTCTGGGTTCATCTGGGAGAGAAAAAAGACTGGATTTTTAAAATGCAAGCACTTTTACCCACATTTTTGTGAAGTCATACTAAGCGATCAGAATAATATATTTTTATATTGGCTTCAAGCTGCTTTTATGCATCTGAATTAGACAGAAGCCCTGTTAAGGAGAGGTTCCAAGGTTAACAAAAATAAATAAATGCACATTTAAGCATATGTGTCAGCATATGAGATTTGTAGAGGTGTATCAGTGTTAATGTATGATCTTTCATGACGGTAGATAAGAGGTCTTACATTGCAGCAGACGACTGTGAGGTTGAAGAAATGAGGAGGACAGTCTCCAACCATCTGCCGAAAAGCCTCCACATCAAGACCAAAGTCCTG